ATGTCCTGAGAGCTCAATGTCCTCTCCTGGGGTAACCAACAAGTCACTCCCACATGGCCCCCATCTCTCCTGCTCTCTTTGTGGTCAGTGTCTTTGACCTCTTCAAATCGAGAAGTGAATGTGCCAAGCATCCTTGTGCAATCTCACACACACACAAGAAGCCCCACACAGCTTCAGAAAGAAGCAGATGCTCCTTCAATGCTTCCTGCACACTCCTTTGAAACGTTGAGGATCCCTGCCCTCATAAAAAATAAAACTTTTACAAAAACCACCATCAAAGAAAAACATGTTCCTTGCTTTGTTCTGTCTCCTTCTCCCRAGCCTCAGTTCTTTCTAAGTGCATTTATTCATAGCTCAGCACCTGGAGTTATTTCTATTAATACCATCTCCAGGTCTATATTTTCCCTTCAGGAAGAGATGGAGGAGGAAGCACGGACCTTCTCCTGCTGGTGCGCATGGACCGTGTACCTGTATCTGTCCTGGGATATTATGTTCCTCAGGCCAGCAGCAGCCAAAATCCCTGGATCCTCAAAGCCCTCAGATCCCTCTGTGCAGCTGCCAAGCTGAAATCACCGCAAACACCATTAGCTTCTGTGTATCAGCAGCCAAAGGTTGATTTATGGCCCATTCACTCATGACCTYAGGACTTGCAAAGTTTAGGAATCAAGAGCCCAGGACTTTTGGAGCATGGAAGAYGGTGACTGCACCCAACCCACCATAAATAAATAAATAAATGAAAGGCAAAATGAGGACCATGATCCTGCTAGCTCTCTAACAACTGAGCTTAAAGACATTCCTGCCAGGGTTCTTCATGATGGCTATTCTCTCCTCCTGACCTCGCAGAGTCTTGTGCTGCTTTCAGCTTCTTGAGGCTGGCGTGCTTTTCACTAGAGTGTTTTTATTTTTTTGCTTTTAACCAGTTCACCCAGAAACCAAAATAAATATAGTGCTCTCTTTATATACACATACATACATTTATATATATATTTATATGTAAGTTGCACTTCATAAAATTCCTAGAGAAGCCCCTGGCAGGATTGATTGAAACAGGCAATTTCGTAGCAAGCTGCAAAGTTCTTCCCCGAATCAGTGAGTCATGATGCCCTATAAAACACACACTAAAATGTCATAATGACCTACCACTATTATTTCTTCTTTAAATCACTGCAAGAGGAAGAGGGTTTGCGGAGTGTGGGCAGGAGGAATCAAGCTGACTGCAGCAGATCTGGAGGCTCCCTTTGCACCCTGTGCATGCGCCCAGGCAGGGAAGGTTCAGCGTGGTCAATGCTGCAGTCAGGTGGTCAAGGAGAAGACAGGGCATGTGGTCCTGGGCYCGGAGATCCCCAGATCACTTATTTACTTTCCTAGAGATAGAATAAATTGGATGTTTTGCAACATTAGACTTTCTACCCATAGTTTATTTAGGAATGAAAGAAGTTATGAATGAAATAAAAGTTAAATTCCATGCACAACACAACACACAAAACCCACTAATATGTTTTCTCCCACTCTTCTCCATATTTTTTCTCACTCTATGATTATATGAAGTCTGTAAGGATGTGAATTTTTTATTTCATTTTTACAATCACTTTTTCTACCTCTTAGTCTCCTGCATAGCGGTATCTCTGTCATTCCTCACTTACTCTTTTTTTCTTTAAATAAGTATTCATGAATACATGACATCCAATGGAAGAAATCATGTAAGTCTGAAAAAAAGAAAAAGAAAAAAAAGATTTCTTGTTGGACGAGTTATTTGTTTGTTTCTAGAAAAGAAATGACCAGAAATATTTTCCCCTCAACAACATGTTTTGCTTGAAAAGATCTTTCCTCTTCATTAAATATTTCATCATCAATGTTTCTGCCAGTTCTAGAGTTTTGCTGCCAAATGAATCCTGAAGCKCAACTGAGTTTTAAACAAGTGGTCTTAACATTTTGTTGTTGTTGTTGTTGTTTTTATTCTAGTGAGAACTCCATGGAAAAGGGATAATCACCAAATTATCATTGATTTTCTTCTGAAATAACAAAAGCTCGCTCTTGGAAACCATAGCACAAGAAGAATGAGCATCTTGGAATGTCTGGGAATATCTCTGAGGGCCCAGGTAGAGCATTGTATCTGTCTAAGAGGACAGCATGAGGAAAGGTTGTGGGACAACTGTGGTGGCAGCAGCACTTGTTAGTTCATCTCATATTTATTTAAGCAAATAAATATATACTTATATATATTTATTTAAGCAAGGAGTAAAAAGTAGCGTGATGTACTAATCTGATTTGGGTTTGCTATGTAATACAATCTTGCTCCTTCACTCTTCTTCCCCCTGCTTTGAAGCACACAAATATAAACACAAACTAAAGATTTTGTGTTTACTTTGAAAATTTCAATCTTGTTTTAAACCACAGCCTGAGCTAAAACTGAGGGGCATTCTTTAAATAATACTTTTAAGCTGAGTCCATGAAACAGAAAATAGAAAGTGCACAGAGAGATAATTGCAAATGCAAAAAAAAAAAAGAAAAAAAAAGATAATTGCTGATGCAAATGAGCTTTCCATTGGCCTGGTCCCTCGTTGCCCTGTATCTTAATGTAAATGTTTCTATCTACAGATGGGAAGTCAGTGCTTTCTAGCCCTGACTGGATGCAGAGACTGACTTCTCTGTGCTTGTCAGTGCTGAACTCAAGCAGACCCTCCTCTTAACTGAGCTTTTGGCAYTAAAATATATTAACATCACAGTCATGCCATTGAAAAGTACCCAGGAAAGAAGGTACCAACACTGGCTCTTGCTACCCTATCCTGTCCTTCAGTGCTACCCCAACAAGCTCTGCATCTTCACCCCTGCCTTCACGCACATTTAGGATGCTCAGGCTATAATATTATAATGGTTTTATAAAACTATGCTCCAGTGGGCYGCGGTATGGCCTGCACGTGATTTGGGGCACCCTGCATGTGTTTTGTGGGCATCACCAGTGCTTTAGTTAAAGCAGAGTTGTAGAAATACACCCTGCTAAAGAAGTGAGATGGAGACGATGTACTGAATCATTTGGACTTGGGACCAAATTTGTCCCTAATTTATATAGCACACAGATATGCTCTCATGAATAATTCAAAATTCAGGTGCAAATTTACCCACTTCCAAGAACAAAGGCTTTCTAGCCCATCAGAGGAGCTGAAGGATTATGCACTCACAGGGTTAGAATCACATTTTGACTGAACAGGGCCTGACATCTATATTAGGTTGCAACAAACTGCTCCTTTGCAGTGCTGATCTCTTTGCATCGACTAGAGAAACAGCCTTGTTGACTGGTTTAGCCTCCACTCCAAATTTTTAGAGGATTTTAGAGGATTGATGTGAGAACATGTGCATGGCAGTACAAGAAAAACCCTACTCGGTCACACCATGTGGCCAGCACCCTACCTGAAACAGTGGCTTAAAGCAGATGCCAAAGGAAGAGTCTGAGGATGAGGAGGAGATCTGCACCTTCCATTCTCCAGGCATTCAAGGCTAAATGGTTTCTATGAACCTTCAAGGGATGACTGTTGCTGGTTTATGCTCCCCTTGAATGAGTGTAAATATTTAATATCACAGTGCCTTGCAGCATGAAGTTCTGCAGCTCTTCTACCTGTTGCACAAATAAAAATCTCTCCTTGAGTTCAATTTTTTTCATTAGTTTCCTTTAATGGCTCCTGATTCTTGTAGTGGAAAAGACTATGAGCAATCCCATCCATGGTTTCTGTAGCACCTTTAGGTATATATTGACTTCCAGCCCTTCAGATCTGCCTTGTTCCCAGCATGAATCCCTCCACAAGCTTCTTATTTCCCCACTGAATTGGACCCGTCTAGTGTAGGTTTCATGCCATTAACTTGAATGATCACCTGACCACCCAGTTATGGAATTAATGCAAGAATAAGGAAAAAAAAATGTGTTTCTGGATTATCTTGTGATGCTTTGCTGATGCACACATTTTTATTGACATTTACCAGATCAATTTTTGACGTCTGTRTATGTTTTTTAAGCAGACGCCAGCAAACTTAGTTGGGATTGACAACCTAGATGTGTAGAGAGATACAGTAGCATAAATGTCATTGAAATGAGACACCAAGGACTAGAAAGAAGATGAAAACCTTGTGAAACAGAAGACAAATAACATCCATACTTTTTTTCCTACTTCATTTCTTGTTTCTCGATCCTGATACGCACATTTCAACGTTAAGGAGTGTGAGGAATTGGACTGAAGTTGAGGGAGGCATTCATGATGCTCAGAGTTAAATGCATTTGAGTGTCTTTGCAGGACTGAGGAATCAATTAGCAAAAGCAACTGAGGAATTCAAGTACATTTAAAAAATCACTTTCAGCTCCTACTCCCCCCGCCCCAAGTATGGAGCTTTGCAATTTAGTTTATCTTGTTTTTTGATTAAAGGTTGATTTTGTTGCCATTTTCATTGTTGTTGAACGTTCCGAATTTCCTTCAATGTGATAGAAAAGCTATTTACCAAGGAAAGACAGAAAAATATGTATTTTGGTGGATTTTTTTTTTCTGGATGAGCGTATTACTTAGTAAACAAAGATTTATTTCTGCATATGTCTGTATTATTTCTGAATATCTGTTGAACATCTTGCCCCCCCAGTACAAGAGAAACACAGAACTAGTGGAAAGAGCCCAACTTAGGGCTATGAAGATGAATAGGGAACTGGAGCATCTCATAAGAGGAGAGGCTGAGAACTGGACCTGTTTAGTCTAAAGAAAGCAGGCTGAGAGGGATCTTATCAATATGTGTGAATATCTTACCGAAGGGCAACAAGGGGATGGTGTCAGATTACTTTCAGTGATAGCCAGTGACAGGACAAGAGGCCATGGCCATAAAGTGAAACACAGGAAGATTCGCCTGATTTTGAGGGAAAACTTCTTGACTGTGAGGGTGACAGAGTGCTGGAACAGGTTGTCCRGGGAGGTTGTGGAGCCTCCTTCTTTGGAGATACTCAAAACCCACCTGGACACGATATGGTGCAACATGCTCTAGATGACCCTGCTTATGCAGAGGGGTTGGGTTGGATGATATCCAGAGATGCCTTCCAATCTCCACCATTCTGCGATTCTGTGATCTGTGAAATAAACAGATTGTCCCTTTAAAAAAAAAAAAAAAGATAATAATAATAATAATAATAATAATAATAATAATAATAATAATAATAATAATAAAGTAAAGCTCAAGGCACCTCTGTGTCATCACCCACAACACAGCAAAGTGAAAGCAACATCCCTGCCATTCAAATCCAACAGCTTTTCCAGCTTCTTCTCCACTGATAGAAATGGCAACTGTAAATGTGAACCAGGGGTGAGCTGGTGTCTGAGGTCTTTTAATTATCTTCATAGGTAGTYCTGGGAACAGAGACGCTTATGACACCTGTGTAGATTCTCTCATGTCTAATAATATTTTGAAGTTGATCCTGCAACCTTCAGGAATAAGAAAGTCTTGGCTTGATCACGTGGATCCATGACCATCACGTGGATCCATGACAGGTCGGTCTACATAGCCTCTCCAAAGGTAATTTCATGCTTTCTGGAAAAAAAAAAAAAAAAAAAAAAAAAAAAGAGCTGGGATTCGAACAAAGAGTTAAGAACATGAAAGCCCTTCCAGAAGTGGCTTAGCGCACACAAGCAAAGCAATTGGGAAGTGGGCACATTACTGCCACTGAGTGAGTGACCCGTAACATCATGATGACACATCACTATTGTTCCCTTGTAGAATATTTCCTTTGGGAGCAAAATGAGTGAGAAACGAGTTCCCAAATGATTGCTATCAGAAAAAAWAWAAAAAAAAARAGARAAAAAAAAARGGGGGGAGATAAAAGAGGGGRRAAAAGAAAGGCTTCATAGGCTAAGAGCAAATTACTCTGCAATTCAGAGAGTGATTTCATGGACATGATGCAGGGATAATGTATTCTGAGTGGCTAGAATTTCATTTAATTCCACTTCATTGTTGAGCATCTTTTCCAGTAGTTTCATGACTGAACACTGTGTGCCCATTTTCCTTGTTCTTAATCTGGCTGTTTGACAGTCACTCCGGATACACAATGTTCATGTTTATTTGCACAACGCCTCTTTACGCTATATGGCCTGATACAGAAGCAAAATATTCACAAATGAAGCCTAATTTCTCTACCGCTGCTGCTTAGGCTGGTGACACAGAACTCAAGGTCTTTGCCTCTACCAAGCGAGCCTGTCAGTCATTCATGGATCAATCACTGAATTGATCTAATTTTCTATCCTATTTAGGATATAATTTAGAAATCCCTAAATTATCTCCAATAACTGAAGCATTATATCATGGCTGGGAAGCCCKGTGAAGCTCTACACAATTAATCCAGAATTTGGAGGCAGCTCTGGGACAGTCCCACGCTGCAGTCAGGAACATGTCTCACTTTTCTGTAGTTCCTTCAAGAAGCCAAATGAAATTTCAAGTGTTATGATCAGATTAATGGTAAGAGCCGAGGTTTATTTGAGCCCCCAAAACAAGAATTAAATTCTGGCACTGCAACTGAATGACCTGAGTGATGCTGCCAAGGACTTTTCTCTGAGCCCTCCTCCTTGGCAGCTCTTTCCAAAACAGTGAAGCAAATAAAAGGAAAGAGCAATTTCTCCTTCTTCCACCCACACAAAGTTCAGACCTCCTTTTGGAAGAGAAAAGATACAAAAAGGAGGATTGTGCCTGAGACTTTCTTCCTGACAAGTATATTCTAAATACATGATTTCTGAGGGAAAAAAAAAAAAAAAAAAAAGAAGCATTTTGCAGGGTACTAAAAGTGCCACCACTTGGACAAAGAAGTTTATGCAAAGCTTGTGGAGGCTGCAAAACTGTTTTGGAGCACAAGCTTTCCAAAAGACATGACAAAAGACTCTGAACTAGTGGCTGTACAGCAAAACTCATGCAAATTACTGCACCAGATATATTTATCCTGTGGTTTCAGTATCTTTATAGCAAAAAATATTTTGTAAAGGTATATTTTGTCTCTCAGCTGGTCTTTGTGTGCATCAGTACCCTTATCCTTCTGCCTGTTATTCGAAGCCCACCATGCGCTTCTAGTGATTAGCTTTTAATCAGATCCAGGTTTCTTTATGCTTTGCTAAGGCAGTTAGGGATGACTTACACTGGCCAGCATGCCACTGTCAGAACCATAAAACCATTCCATTTTGGTACCTTTTCTCCTCTCCTCTCCTCTCCTCTCCTCTCCTCTCCTCTCCTCTCCTCTCCTCTTCCAGCAGTGGTAGGGTCAACTCAACTTGCTTGCAGTAATTCTGTGATGTCAAAACTGTCCCATGTCACTTCTGCTGTTGATTTGTTCTGTCCTTGGAAGGTCTTTTCATTGCTGAGGACAAGAGTCCCTCTTGGAATGTGGTAATTCCAATTCAGGCTCTAACAGTTCATCTTCAGGGATGAAATTAAGCCCRTTCCTTCAACTGTGAGCTTTATTTAAGCAAAGTAGTCTGTAGAAAAATGGTGTCTTCATAAGTGGAAGAGCCCACTGTCTTACCATAGACAGATAAACCCATTGGCATGAAGGTCGCCCAGTAGAGCGAGAGGTTTTGCAATGAGGTGCAAGTGGGGATGTTTCCCTCAGTGTTTTCTTGTACATATACATCTGCCTATACCCACTGTTCTGTCTCGCTTTATAATTAGTGCTAGCTCTCTGCTTCAAGGACTGATTTGTCATTCTCTTCATATACAAGTGCCAGCACAATGGAGCTTCAGTGTAAGTCACACTTCCATATGGAACCACGATTCGCCAATCAAGAGAAAGGACAGCGCAGACTAAAATCCCATCTTGGCCCAGTGGTGAAATGAAGGCAACAATTAGAAATAAATAGACAACTGAAGAAAAAAAAAAACAGAACGAGGAAGATGGTAATTAGCAAAAATTAGAAGCTATGAAATTCAAAGAGTTGGTGAAGAAAGCAAAAGGCATTAGGGAAAGTCCTAGGCTTAAAGGACTGCAGGGTGTATTGTAAAACAAGGGGGATTGCAGCAATGATATTTAGCTTATTGCTAGTTGAGGAGAATAAAATAGTAACCATTTTTCAGAAAATGGTTAGATGTTCTCCTTTGCTCAAGCTGTTCTCACCTTCCTTTCCCATTTTTGAAAAGAAAACGAGAGATCTATTTGTATTTCATGAAGATGAATAGTAATAATCAAGGAAACATATAAAGATATAAAGCATCAACTAGAAAAGCATTTTTTTAAAGTTGTCTTGTCATTATAATTCACCCAAGAGAATGGAAAGTGTTGACTGAGGAGATATATGAGGTAGTGAGGATGATTATATGTCCTGGAATTACATGAAATACCAGGAGATACAAGCATGTCTCAAAAAAAGCCAAGGAGGTGAATCAGCCAATGTGTTCAAAATTAGGGAATGCTGATAAAGGATTTAATTTTAAATAAAAATGTAATAAATCACTAAGATTTACTAGCTAAGGGTATAATTAATCGTAGTAATTCACCACATCATTATCTTTTGGAGCTCATTGTCTTTGGGAGGATGTGTAGAATGAAAATATAAATGAGGTGGGGAAAAAAAAACAGAAGGAAAAATAAGTCCCTTAGAAGCCATTAAATGTAGTGGCCCAAATAGAACCTCCAGGTCCAAAATCCTTAAAAAATAATTGCCAAAAACAAGATTTATCCATTTTGAATACTGGAGAACCCTTGCCCTGAAGCACAACCACTTTTCTTAGGTCTTTAAAGTATATCCCCAGACCTGCTAAAAGAAGTGGTACCAAACCCAGTGTCACAGACACCACGAATGAGGCTGACTGGGAGGATGGCACGGATGGGAGAGCCTCGGCTCCTCAAGACGCCCTCCTGATTAGCACGCAGGCAGCGTGCAGGACCAGCAGCAGCTGTGTAACCTAGTTTTAGCGAGATGAAAGGCTGGTTATTCAGCAGATCGCAGCAACCAGCTGTCAACTGGGAGCCATCGGGAAAGGCAAGAGTTTCCAGGAGAGCTCTGCACAAACGCGTGATAAGCCCRGCACTATTTAGCTTGGGCTTTTGCTCAAAGTAAACACCATATCAGCCCTGACAGTGATGGGGAGAATTTTAAAACGCCCGATTGCAAAGTTCCCCATGGAGATTTAAGGAATGCAGGCAATGTTTGAGAATGAGGTTACGGGGTCTTGGAAAGCAAGCAGTTCACCAGAAACTACCACTGTGGCTTGGTAGCACAGAGATTCAGCAGAAGTCGTAGGGGAATCAGCAAGGGAGATGTAATTAGGAGAGCAGAAATGTTTACCATTTCTGTGTGATGCACCTATGAGACGGAGATATGCAGACTAGCTGATTCTCTGCCCTCACCTCCTTAAAAAGGGGTCATGGAAGTGGCTGAAGAGTGCAGGGAAAAAATAGCCATAAGAAAAAATTACTTCAGAGCTGGAGAGAGTGCCTTGCACTAAGACTTTCCGCAACCCAATCTATTTTGTTTATCAAAAAAAAAAAAAAAAAAAAAAAAAAAAAAAAAAAGAGGAAGATTGAGAGGTGACTGATTTGATTAAGGTGTGTAAGTACTTTCATAGGGAGAAAATTGTGGCTAGCAAAGCAATCTTTAGTCTTGTGGAGAAAGGAATATTTATGACTGGAAGTGGAATCCTGACATATTCAAATAGAAACGATTTTTAACAGAAAGCAATGGACCTTTTGAACAAACTGCCCAAGAAAGCACTGCATGTCTCTTCTGTTGAATGCCTTCAAATAAAGACTAACTCTCTTCCTCAAAGAGCAAGTGGCATCGAACTAAGCTCTCAGCAGACTGCTAACCAGCTAAATTCAACAAACAAATTGACAACAAATTTGTATTAAGTGATATTTGGTATATTCTGKCCTTGGAGTTGCCACATCCACAGCACAACACTCCAGGGTTAACTGTTTCCCCATCTGCCTTTCAGTTGTCCTGATACCCCAACATCTGCCCTGGGGTATCAGCCCTGATACCCCAACGGGGCAATATAGACCACTTGTGGACAKGGTACCAGCCCTGGTAATGACCAGCTGAGTGTCAAATCCCTTTCASTCTCTGAGTTTTCTTCCACTGCTATTTTTTTTTGCCATTTCTTTTACTTTTTTCAGTCGTTCAGAAGGGACCACTGTAAAATTCAAAAACTCGCACGTAGCATAACAGAGTGCCCCATCCGATGTCCTTCATCAACCCCGTGATTTAGCATGGTCCCCGTAAGTATTTTCACCAGATTAAATGACTTTGCTGGAAGTGCGATGAGATGGTACGTTTCAGGATATATATTCTTAGTCTGTGCATGAGTATAACATCTACCACAATGTAGCTGTGGCTTCGAAGAGCTGCTATGATGCAAACAAGAATGAATATATGAAGGTCATAAAAAGGAAACGCTGAAGTGGAAAACGCTTCCTGGACAGATGACAGCGTTTTGAGGATACCTCTAAGCAAGTGGCAATAAAAGGAAAGATGTTGTGCATCTCTCTGCATTCTGGGGAGAATTTGCAGAGCATCCTGCCTTGCATAACACTGCAACGAGGGCTTCCCTCCCAG